TATATAAAGTCGTGCATATATCCGCATATATATACATACACACACATCACTGTGTAAAGTATACATCCGATGCATAAACATGCATCACCTGTACTCACCTGCTCGTGAGACAGGTATCTCCTATCCTCTGCTGGTGCTGGTATGCTTTGTCCATAGTATCTGTGTTCCGCAAACACCAACACTGCACCGAACTGCTCTGCGTTCTCCCACATCAGCCCAGAGTTGTTTACGTACAGCATAACATCTCCTTCATTGCCTATACATCGCGATAGAGATTTTGTGTTGTCGTAGTCTTTAGTAGTGTCCGTGTGGATTACTTACTATAACTGTTTTAAGTAGGGTTTTAGGGTTTTAGGGTTTTAGGGTTTTACTAAAAACCCTAACAGCACATCGCCTCCATTGCCTATGAATATGTCTTTGATTGCCGCAGAGTGGTAAGACATGTGTGTGTGTGTGATCGTAGAGTGGTAAGACGTGTGTGTGTGTGTGTGTGTGTAATCGTAGAGTGTTAAGACGTGTGTGTGCGTGTGATCGTAGAGTGGTAAGACGTGTGTGTGTGTGATCGTAGTGTGGTGAGACGTGTGTGTGTGTGTGATGTTGTCGCATAGTGTTTGCTTGAAGAGGTTTAGTCTGAAGTATTTTGATGTGTGTGTGCGGATCTTAATATGAACCAATAGTAGGTGATTTTGTGCGTTGTTGTCGTTTACATACAGCATCACGTCGATAATATTGCCTACAAATTTACGTGGGGAATTTGTGTGTGTGTCTGTTTTATGTGGGTGAGTATATAAATATACACATATATATATACATGGGTGCCTGTTTTATTTATGCGAGTATATATATATATATATATGGGTGTTTTTGTGATCAGGTATCTAGTACAAGGGTCTTGCCCAGTGTGGGTAACCACATGACGCATAATAATAACATTCTCTTCGCCCACACGCATGTCAGTGTAGATATACAATTTTCTAGGTCTGTGAATGCGTGGCTGTTCTAGTTTAATTGAGCACATGGTGCTGCTCCTAACTACAGTCAGATTTAACACAGATTGCCCTTCCTGCAAACAGCCATAATAACTATTTACTTTAGTCATACTAGTGAAACAACCCCCTCAAGAGAGGTGTTCATAGACGTCTGTATATACCTGGTGTGTGTACACTTGTTCTATTCCTATGCTTGTGTAATTATCGTCTATTTGTATACTTGCGTTCTTCGATGTGGATAGGTCAAAGGTGGGTGCACCATGTGGGAAGTATAAGCACATGCGCGATGTTTGATTATGAGCATGCCTAACCTAAGACAGTTGAAGACCCCCAAAAGTTATATCATCTCTCTATTGGTCGCGGGTACAACCAAACGCTGCGTTTACATGCACGTGCGTGGTGTGAACAAGCCTAGGGAGAACCCCTCAGACTGAGACGACGATCCTGTGCTACGACAGCCATGATGACTTACTACAGTATGCTGAAGGAACATATACGCATACATCACTTAACAAGGCTGATAATCCCTTTTTAAAACACATATAAGCTATGTCACAAAGGGACATACACATATGCATCACTTAACAAGGTTGGTTATCCCTTTGTAACACACATATGAACTATACCACAAAGGGACGTACACACCTACATCACTTAACAAGGTTGGTTATCCATTTTTAACACACATAAGGACTATATACACACATACATCACTTAACAAGGTTGATTATCGCTTTTTAACACACATAAGGACTCTACCACAAAGGAACATCCACACATACACCACCCAACAAGATTGACTATCTTTTTGAACATGCATAAAAACTAATTGTGTAAGTGTTTGAAGCCACCTCCAATCCTCTCTAGACAAATATGTACGTGTACGTGTCCGTGCACCCACGTTGATCTGTACATGCAGCCACATATCAGGTAGATACTTGTATATAAACACATCACACAATCCAGTTACAGTTATCAGGGACAACGCACCTGTGTAGAAGAAAATAGGACCGTCAGGACCACTCCTGTGTTTGTCACACACCAAATATCGCATTTGGTAGGTATCTTCGCCACTAGGCGGGCGTTTCCCGTTGAAATGATCGATGGTCTGCGCGATCCAATGCGTCTCACAAAGTGACGGAATGTCTTGTTTAATCTACGGAAAGTGAGGATAAGGAATCGAATGTCTTGTTTAATCTACGGAAAGTGAGGATAAGGATTCGAATGCCTTGTTTAATCTACGCAAAGTGAGGATAAGGAATCGGATTATATCACCGCTTGAACGTGGTATATGCAAGGAACACTCTCTGGTCTGAGGAGTGGGTAAGCATGCTTGTTTAAGTACATCAAAGTACGCGTTCAATTGGGCAAAGACGATGGACCTGGGCTCACTGATAGCTATACATAGAGCACCCACTCCAAACAACCGGCAGTAGGGTGAGATGATCGTGTATGTGTCTTATATAAACATTACTTCCTGTGTGTCTTATATAAACCTTACTTTCTGTGTGTATTATATAAACCTTACTTCCTGTGTGTCTTATATAAACCTTATTTCCTGTGTGTCTTATATAAGCATTACTTCCTGTGTGTCTTATATAAACCTTACTTCCTGTGTGTCTTAAATAAACCTTCCTTCCTGTGTGTACTATATAAACCTTACTTCCTGTGTGTAACATATAAACCTTACTTCCTGTGTCTTATATAAACCTTACTTGTTGTGTGCACGCACGGGGTGCATAAGTGCCTGCAGTGGATTTCATACTTACACCACTGTCTGAATTGTAGCCATACGCAATGACATAGAATCTATCGGATTACAACAATAAATACATACATACATACATACATACATACGCTGATCTGAAATAGGGAAGTACTATGTATCGACAAGTATATGCAAAGTGAACGAGGCAGACGTAAATACACCACTGACAATGAGACAATAGAATATATGAGAATACTGAAAACAAGGTCTATTCGTCTTCGTATACAGAGTACAAAGTACCAGATATAGCCACTTAGACAGGTACCACTTATGCAGCTACCACTCAGACAGGTAGAACTTATACAATGTACCACTTAGAAAAATACAACTTAGACAGGTACCACTTAGACAAGTAGAACCTATACAGGTACCACTTAGACAGGTACCACTTAGACAGGTAAAACTTATACAGGTACCACTTAAACAGATACCACTTAGACAGGTACCACTTAGACAGGTACCACTTAGACAGATACCACTTAAA